CACAGAGCCAGCCGGGCTGGTGGGCCGCGGCTGGGGGTGCACGGGTGGCGGGGCCCGGGCTTGCTCAGCATTCTGCACCCCAAGACATACTACCCTTGGTTGAGACCCTTGGCCGGGTCTAGGAGCGCAAGGTGTTTCAGCCAGGCCGTCCAGGATTCCCACCGAGTTCTGGTCCTTTCCACACTGCAGGACTGTCTGGTCCGAGTTTGGGGTCACGGGTGGAGGCAATGTACGGTTAAAATTGGACTCTTGCAGTTAGAGGACCCCTTGCCTGGGGATCCCTGTCCTTGTGAGTTGTGCTGACAGGTACAGTCAGGTATCCTGGGTGCCCTGCTGGAAACTTCACAGCCCTGGGACTGGGTTCCCTCAAGCAGGGTCAGGTGCACCTGCGCTGGGCTGGGCCTGCCCGTGTTTGCAGACAGTAGGAATTCAGGTGCCTTCCTTCCAGGGTAGCACCCACTGCCTGTGTGGAGGGCACCCTTGCCCACAGTGGTGCCCACACTGCCTGGTGTGTCCTCAGCCTGCTGCGGATGGTGCTTCCTTTTCATCAGCTGTGGGTTCCTACAGAGGAAGGGTTTGCAACGTTCAGCTGCTTCCCTGCCTAATGAATGAACTAGTGGGTGCTCCAAGCAGGTGTGTGAGCTCCCCAGCCCCATGGTCCTTGGCCTGTGCTATGCTTCCGGCCCTCGACTGTGTCCAGGCAGGCAGAGGAGGCTGGCCGAGATCACTGCAGGCTAGGCCTGCTCTGAGGAGGTTTCGCTGGGCCTTTCCTGTAGGGGAGGCCAGGCCTTTGCCGGCTCAGTGACCTACTTGAGCAGCTGTGCTTCTGCCCAGGGTGGTGGTCCTCTAGCTGGGACGACTGTCCTTCCTGCTAGACATTTCCTCCAGACTGTCCCTAGAAGGCTCTTTTTCAGCCAGGGTCTGCTGAACCGAAAGTCTCAGGCACTCAGTAATGGGGGTCTCTACTTCAGGAGCTGATTTAGGCCAAAAGTGGTTGGTCTTTCCTACTGGCTGCTCTTTTGTGGGGTGTCCTTGTTTGCAAAGAGCAACCTTGGTATCTGTAGTGCTTCTCTGAAGATGTCAGATGCGGCCAACTATGGATGCTGTGTGACAGGCATGCATTCTCCACCCAGGGAAGAACTGGCTGTTTGAGGACAGATGGCCCTGTGGTCCCTCCTTCTCCGCTCCTGAGCCAACCAACAGTCCAAGGTCTTCCGAAAGTGCTGCTCTAGGAATCTGCCTAGTGCCAAGCAAAGTTCCTGTCTTGAGAGTGGCCAGGTGTGAGGCACTAGGAGCCACCGTGTATCAGGGAGCAGTGCTTCCTGAGGGTGGGTGCAGTGCACCTGCACAGGGGCCCAGTGCTTGTTTTGGGCAGACATGTGCGTGCCTGGGGTCATATAGAGCCTGGGAGGCATTGGTACCTCTGAGACAGCAGTCCAGGAAAGTCCACACCTGCTCGTGGCCTCAGGGGCCTTCGAGCCCTAGTGTCGACACTGTGCCCATTGGCTCTGCAGCTGCTTGCAGCGTCCCTGGCAGCCAGCCTCAGTCTGAAAGGTCAGGGAGGGGCAGCAGCCTGTCTTTGCTGGGCGCCCTTGGGTCCCTTGGAGTCAGGAGCCCTGGGGTCTGAAGGGAGAGGCTGGGAGATGGTTCTCAGGGGACATCCACTGTCTGAGGCCAGCAGGAGGGCCAGAGCCAGCAGCCAGGACCATTGTGACTTGTTGCCTGGGGATGAAGCGGGAAAGAGCTATTTAAACAGCCTTTTCCACCAATCTGGTTTTTCAGGGACGAAGAATGGGGGACTCAGGGGGCCGTTTTTTCCACCCTTCCCCTTTTGTGTGGAGACACAGGCCAACCTATGGCTAATCAGTCCCCCTCTGGCGGGTCTGTCTCATAGTGGCTGGAAAGGTGAATAGGCCTGTGAGCCCAGAGAGGTGAATTGTGGTCCTAATTGCAGCCCTGGCTTGTCCAAGGTTTGTCAAAATAGGTCCTGCCCACTGTGTGGCCGGAGCAGGCAGCTGGATGGCTGGGGAAGCGTGGCTGCAGTGTGGGGTCCAGGGGACAGAGGACCTGGGTGGTGCTGTGACCTGCTGCTGGACTTTCAGGACACAGTGACCCTCCTGGGGGAGGGCAGCAGTTCTCCGCTTCTGGAAGGGGTGTGGAGTTGCCAGGGAAGGTGGGTTGTGGGGTGGGTGGCCTAAGACACTGCCTCTAAGATAGCCTCTTAGGTAGGGTGCAGAGGACAAGTAAAATGGGGCTGGGGGTGGAGGCCCAAGGCTGTGATTTTCTGTAATTATGTGCAGTCTCACAACCACAGTGCAGGGTTATGGCAGCAGCTAGAATATACAGATTTTCACCATGCTTTTCCAAAGACTTTAGCAGCTTTCTCTTGAAGTCTTTGAGTCCTTTGCACCAGGATCCTGTAGCCCAGCTTCCTGGCTTTGATATGGCTACCTCACGTGACCGGAGGAGGAATAGGACTGTGCTACAGAGAGCAGGTGACTGAAAGCCGGGCAGCCTGGGCAGGCTGCGGTGGCCCAGGTTGGGGACTTCGGGGGTTAAGGACCCAGAGGAGACAGAAACGGCAAGGAGCTCACTGGCAGTCCTTTGTGTGCCCAGGAACTTGGATTTGAGCTGTGGATTTGAGGTTTGGCTCTCTTTGCAATTCCTTTTTGATGGTAGAGAGTGAGTTCCCTGGGCCGAGCATGCTATTAAAAAGCCTCTTTAGCAGGTTAATATGGAGAGCTCGTGGGGGAGATTAGCATCTGCGTTCGGCCGCCTGAGCAGTGTCCCTGTGCCTTCCTTCCTGGGCACTTCCTGAATCGCCTTGGCCTGCCCATCCTCAGCAGCTGCTCCAAGGGCAGACTGCTGATCGAGTAAACAGGATCCAACTTTCATTTACTTAGTGAGCGCACTGCTTCGGAAGTGAAACGTCAGCTCTGCGAGCCCACGGGGCTGCGTGAGCAGGGGCGTGCTTAACCCCGAGCAGGCATCTGGACGGTGCTAACGGGTTCAGCACAGTGACCATTAATGGGTGCCACCTAACAAGAGTGGCAGCCAACACTGAGCCTTTAGATACTTGTTACACTGACCAGTTTGCTTTCTAAAATAAAGACGAAGGACTTTGGTGACGCAGTGGAGTTCCTGGCCCTGAGTTCACAAACAACGTCCAGTGAATGCAAAAAGGACCATCATTCCTGTTCTGAAAACATGCTAGTGTTCCAGAGTTAGGCCCGGCAGAGGGCAGGGTCTCGTGGGAGCCCATCCTGGGTTGGGTGCAGGCTCAGGGACCCACTAGGTCTGTCTAAAGGAACCTTGAAATTCTCAGAGGGGGCCTGAGGCTGTGCCAATCCCTACAGAACCTATGATGACAGGGGAGGAGAGGATGGCTCCAGGCCTGAGCCTACAAGGAAGAGGAAATTCCAGCAGCCCTACTAAACTCCGGTCCCAGTTGGACCCAGAATCCTCTTCCCGCCCAGGATATGGGCTCTGGGCGGGCTCTGGGCTGCCTGCGGAGGGGTTTCAGCTTTGCCAAGGAGCTCTAACTACTGCCCACAGGGCCCTTCTGAGGACAGGGACATTCTGAGCGCCAGTGTTGGACAGAGTGTGGTGCCCCCTGACGTGGCTACTCTCTGACTGCAGACCATATGGTGAGGCCTGCAACAAGTGAATGGTGGCCAGGGAGGGGTGGCATGGGAAAGGCGTTAAAAATAACCAGCTCCTTTATCATCATTTACTATCGCTGCTTGTGTGACACAGAATCTAAATAAAACCCGTACGCATCATAATGGGATTCTCATCGGCTGAGTGTCTGACAACTGTAAAAGTTAAAGCGTAAAGGGATTGGTAATGGAGGTGACTTTCAGACACGTTGGCTTGGCGCAGGCTTGCGTGAGGCAGGAGGCGAAGTCCCAGCCTCCCAATGCAGGACAGGAGCCTGGGCCATGTGCTTCCGGAGGTCCAACCGCTCTGTCCACCAGGAAGGACGAGACCCGAGACATCATGCTGCAGCCTCACGGGGACTCATCTTCGTCTGTCTCGCGTCCCCCTGAACTTGAGATCTGAAAACCTCACAGAGGAGGATCTCAGCCCCTCGCTCAGGCTCAGGACACCCTCACTTATCTGGGTCCTTAGCACTGGGCAGGGGGCAGCAGAGGAGGCCATGTCCTCAGCTCCGGAGGAGTGGCCACACCACTCAGCTCGGCAGCCCTGGGCCTGGGAGGGGTTTGGGGGCAGGTGGCTGCAGAATGGTTGGTTGCTCACATTTCTCTTTGTGTTCTGTTGTGTGTATGCACACGTAGTAGTGTATGTGCTTAAATACTCACAGGTATTTATTTTCTTGCATGTAATCCACCTAAACCTATAAAATTTATGACCACATTATGAATTTGACTTAAAATATAGCTGCTTAGTTAGGGAGCGGAGATGCCCCTGAGGGTGCGCTATGGGGCTGCTCCTCCATCCCGTTTGCGAGTCAGTGAGGCCTGGGGCAGATGTGGTAGGGACAGGCTGCCAGGATGTGACCCCACTCAGGGTGTGCAGGGCCTGTGAGGCTGG